ATTTTCGTTTAGTTGCATGTTCTCATACCAGCCGAGAGGATATCGCCTTTTCTTAACTCCATATCACAATCGGAGGATCGATTATATCCGAGTTCATAAGCCACCGGAGTAGAAGGACATACTCAATTGTAAATAATTTTTATATAATGCATATACAAATATTTATCTACGAAACAGCGATACAAATAATAACAACCAACATCTGCAAAATAGATAATAGCATGAAGAAAAGTATTTTTTTACACATTTCAATCTATGTCTTAATATCTGCCAGCAACATTCTGGGGTTGTATATGTACTGCTGGCGACGCTTTCGTGGCTGCATCTTGGCGGTAGCGTGAGCTGCGAGCGCAGATATCGTCGCCGATCGCCGCATCACACACGTGATCACCGACCCGCATGCCTGCTGTCACCATCTGCCCCTCCACACCAACGTGGCACCGCGACACGGCGGTTCAATCACTAACGTTGGACCGCAGGAGACACTCGCGCCGTCCCCGCTCACCAGCGCCGACGTGATCACTCACACTTCTTCTTATGCTCCTGGGACGAAACCAACAACGCACAATGACCAATTGCACCTTTTCAACGACGCCGCGACCTTTCAACACACGTTTTGGCCGCAGAGCATGAGGGATTCAGCTCGGACTGTCCGTCCCCGCTTCACCCAGCGCGATTGAGCCACTCCGCAGCTTCTTCCCTTGATGCTCCTGGGACGAACACAAATGTACTAATGACATTGCCTTCCACAGTCACAACGCTAGAAGATCGAGCACGGTTCACACTACGTTCCAGGCCGCAGAGATACAGCACGCACGCCGATCCCCGCTCACAGCGCGAATGAGCATCACAGCTCTTCTCTATGCTCCTTGGGCACGAACACAATTGCACAATCACTAATTGCTACTCCAAGCCAACGTGGACGCCGCCGCACCTTCAAACACACGTGGCCGCAGAGAGACACTCGGACGCCGTCCCGCTCACCCAGCGCGAGTGCAGCTCACAGTTCTTCCTTGAAATCTGCCGTTGGACGAAACACAATGCACAACGACCCAATTGCACTTCCACAGGCCAACGGTGACGCGCGAACGCTTCAACAGCCACGTCTTGGCCGCAGAACACTCGGTGGCGCCGTCCCGCCGACTCACCCAGCGCGAAGTGAGCACTCACAGCTTCTTCCTTGATGCTCGTTGGGACGAAACACAATGCACATGACCAATTGCACTTTCACAGCCAACGTGGACGCGCGATGCTTCAAAACATTACTAAACGAAAGGAACTAGTTTGGATATGAGGAAGGGCATTTTGAATCTCACGATTGCCTTGGAAATTGTTGAGTTAAATTCATGACTTACAAAGCTATGAATGAATTTATTTGAGAACATATATAAGATTCATGAAGAGACTTTCAACAATACAATTTTAGAACAATATTTCAATATTCAGAATTATATTATTAATAATTTTCTGTTTAAATATATGAATTTAAACAATTGAACTGATTTTTACGTACATATTGTTATTTTGTTATTCTGTCATATTTTGAATTACCTCAGTATTACATGTGCATAAACTATAGGAATATGATAAATTATAACCTCTAAGGAGGTGACACTCAATTACAGAGAAAAGTGCAGGGGTAAGTCGTCTCTGATTGGTTGTATACGATATCGATACTTTCTTGATACGCTTTTGGTGGAAATATCAAAAGCACAATAGACTCTAATTGTCTTTCAGGCAGCCGTTCAGTGATCTCTACCTGCTCTGTAGGGAAGCAAAAAACGTCAACATAAGCGAATCTCTGGTGGACAATATCGAGAAGGTACGTAGGCAAGAAAGCACATCACTTATGGATATGAAATTTTAGGTTGTATCACATACAGAAATTAAAGGGTAATATTTTCCTCCACATGCCAACAAATTCACTAGGCGGACGCACCTTGCATCTTGTAGGGTCGTCAGTTCGAACACCGCAACGGGCACAGATATTGGCTTTGGTGTTGTGGCATGGCAATGCTTATCCCAATCACGATGTGACTGCGCGATAACTCGTTTCCTCCCCGAATGCGTGTGAGCATGAGGAGTGTGCCAGGGTATGTGTGTTCCAGGATGGGCCTAGAGGTTGCTAGGCGAGCTACAATATACATTCCTACCCGAAACAAGGTTCAAATGGTGCCACGGGCTTCAAGGCCACCAGTTCTCTGCCGCAATGGACTTACGAGATACTCGTGTAACGTATTAGCCAGCGTGCCTCGTGGCGTCTATTTGGGGACGCTTGGTAAGGGATTAGTAAAAGGAAACTCCTCGCCACAGGAGGGAGAGAAGGGTTTTTCCTAAAAGCAAGCACGCGGCAAAGGGAGACCCGAGGCTTTGGGGTCCTCCGGTCTTAAGGAACGGAGACCCAAACCTCATGCAACCAAAGGGCACTGCGGGGGCGGCGTGACGTAGAGGGTCACGTGAGCCTCGACTATGTAAGGGAGTGCACAGAGCCAGTCGGTGGGTTCCGGAGACGGTGGGAGAACCTCGTGCGAATGCACAAATTTGGCGCCACGACGGTGTAGCGGCGAGCAGAGGCAAGTCACGTGTTGATGAGTCTATGGAGTACTTTGTGTCCTTGGGGTGATTGCGGTCACGTGGGAGGTATGTGCGTGCTCCGGGATGAGGAGTGGTTGAGTGCCACGACTCGCGGCTGGTTCTCAAGCGGGTAAGATCGCTCCTGTGATCGAGGCAAACCATCAGTTAGGTACGCCGGTAGGGACTTAGTGTCCCAGTGGGACATCCGTTCACGGAAGCTTGGCTTGTGCGCGCTTCAGTAGGAATGACGAGTGCCAAAATTTAAACCGATCATCAAGCGGGTTGAAATCGCTCGCGCGATCAGGGGATAGCAGGTCTATCAGAGCTAGGGTGTAAAGTGTAAATTCGTTGTAAATAAATATTTGTTATATGAAAGGTCTGAGTCTGTGTTCACTGTGAGCATCCATTAAGTCACACTAGCTGTTGAGTTTTCTGCCGCCAAGGACCTTCGAGCCACTTCTCTGACGCACTGGACTTAGGAGTCCCCAGTGATGGAAACATCTCTTTCGCAAAACAATTGGAAATTACAATTATTTAGAGGGTGGTTCTTTTTGTGTTCCCGCCAGCCCTGTGGAGGGAATGAGCGAGGGCGGTGTGACTTTGAGTTCGCAGTGAGGAACGTGACGGAGGACCTGACGCCGGGCAGCAGCACGGCTGCGCAGGCGACGCTGGCCGCTGCGACGGGGCTCTGCGCCGCCCACAACTCGCTCCCGGGGGCGCGGCTCTTCGCCTCCCACTCGTGAGCCTCTTCACTGCTCCGAGCGGATATTGTACAACACACGAAACTACGATGTGTGCGCATCTATGGTGTGTGCTTGTAGGTTCCACGGCCGGCGGGGTTTCCTGGGCGTGGGCGTCGCTAGTTGGACGCCCGACGCGGGCTACGAGGGCGGCGCGGGCGCGGGCGGGGGCGCGGAGGGGGCGTACCCGCGCCGCGTCCGAGGCCCGGGCGAGGGGCTGCGCCGGCTGCTGGCCGTGCGCTTCCACGGGATCGGCTCCGCGTGCAGCCACCGCCGCCGCTCCGTCCAGGTAGCGCGGCCTCGCTCGGCACCCACGTTCAACGTCTCAACATCCAGCTGCGCAAGAATATGTACACGCACGGGACTGGTGACCATAGCTTCTGACGCACTAGGAAGCACGGGAGGAACAAGCATGTCTGCAAAATACGGCGAACATCTATTGGCCCGGCTGAGTTGCCACATCCAAACTTCCAACAAAAATTATAAAAATGCGGTCAAATGAAAGGTCTACCACCTGGGAAAATGGATCTTGCTACATAATATAATTCAACACAGCTAGAATATACGATGAACAATTTCAAGTGGTACAAGCTCTTTCCCGAATACGGTTAGAGAAATATTTTTCCTTCGCGACCGTCGCTGTCCAAGACTTCCTGCAAGATACCTCCTCCATCGTAGCGTTCACATTTTTTGCTTGTGTCGAGTCGACGCCATCAGCGCGCTTCCAATTAGTGTCGGCAACAAATCTAATTTTTAGGGACAAAACGAAGCAAAAATTGTGAAGCAACGGAGGTGAAGCGGAAACAACAGCAGTCCTCTATCGCATAAAACAATACGGTCCCGCCTGATTTCAAAACCTCACACCACCAGACAGCCTCCGGAATTACAGTTAACGTGATGCTCATCAATGACGTCAATAATCTCCTACCTATAACAGCGCTTTAAACCCCGAAACATCGCGTAAAGTTGCAGTGATATAGAAACTGTTTTACAGACATTACAAAAATACGTTTTACAATAATCTAAGCGACTGATACCAAACTAGCGGAATTAGTGTTTGTTGCTAATATTGTTAAGTGTGTTTTTCTACAATATGAAATGCATCACCCTGTTTTACAATAACAAATTAAACGAAGTGAAATTGAAAAAAGAACGAAATCAACAAATCAATTAACGTCTTTTCAGATGCGCTTCCACAATCCTGCCACAGTTGCCACGCCCACGCAGAGCTCCGTGCCCGTCGTACCAGGGGAGGCAACGTACCTTGCGCTCACCCCGCAGGTGGTTGTCACCAGCACCACCCTGCGGCGCTGGTACAGCCCCCACCAGCGCCAGTGCTACTTCCAGGACGAGCGGCCACTCCGCTTCTTCGGCCTCTACACGCAGAGCAACT